CTTGAGTTCAAGAGTTACATTTTGTGGCTGGCTTCACCAGTTGTGACAGGCTTTTTGTGGCCGCACCCACCATTCACTTGCAGAATTCCAGTGGTGCCCTCAGGCTCAAAAAGGTTGGGGACCCATGCTCTAGCACAGTGGTGGCGAACCTATGGCACAGGTGCCAGAGGTGGCACTCAGAGCCCTCTCTGTGGGCATGCAGGCCATCGCCCCAGCCAGGCCCAGACCATCATTAAAGTGTCGAATTCACTGCCAAATAATTTTAAGTAAATGAAAGCATTTGGGATTGCTTTCCTTACTTTGTTTGGATCATATTAAGTTAATGTATGAGTTGTTTTTTCTAAAGTAAAACCTCAGGATTCAGGTTAAATTGCTGTGTGGGCACTTTGCGATAAATAAGTGGGTTTTGGGTCGCAGTTTGGGCACTCGGTCTCTAAAAGGCTCGCCATCACTGGCCTACTGCCTGGCCTGTTTTAACTAAAGATGCCGGAGATTGAACCTGGGACCTTCTGCATGCCGAGCACATTGAACCTGGGACCTTCTGCATGTCGAGCACAGGTCTTTCACATCACCTCCTGCCTGGTCCTTTTTAACTGGAGATGCCAGGGATTGAACCCAGGACCTTCTGCATGCCAAGCAGAGGCTCTCCCACTGAGCCACAGCCCCACTTCCATGGGCCTCCAGGGTCACAGGCTGAGGTCTTCCACATCACCTCCTGCCTGGCCCGTTTTAACTGGAGATGCCGGGGATTGAACCTGGGACCTTCTGCATGCCGAGCAGATGCTCTACCACTGTGCCCAACCCCAATAAAGGGACATCTGAACACATAGACCTGTTTTATACTTGATTCAACTCTTGGTCCACCACAGTCCGTCAGACTGGCAGCATTTCTCCAGGGTCCTTTAAATTGGAGACACTGGGGATTGAACTTGGGACCTTCTGCATGCCAAGCAGAGGCTCTTCCACTGAGCTATGGCCCTTCTCCTCAGCCAGGAATCAAAACCCAGCGTCTTCTACAGGCAAAGCAGAATTTCCTCCCAAAAGGAAGGAGCCTCTTATTTTACCACTTCTATGCTCAGCCTTCTCCTGAGCTTGCCTGGACCCAGGCATCCGGGGACCGCAAAGCCATTATCCAGGGTGAGAATGGAAGAAACACGGCATGAATGAACCCGATAAGCCTTACCTTTATATTTATACAGGGCGTTCCAGAGGAACTGGGCCGACACCACCGGCTTCTCTACAAAAATCGTTTCCCCCTTGCGGATCTTCCTAGTGGCAAAGAGTCCTTTCCCCTTTAAAACAGAGAGAAATCTTTATTTGAATGCTGCGGCTCACTTAGTCTACAGGCCTTGAGCAACGTTGCACCAGATATGTCAAAACATAAGTAACAAGAGCCAGTTTGGTGTAGTGGTTAAGCATGCAGACTCTAATCTGGGAGAGCCGGGTTTGATTCCCCACTCCTCCACTTGCACCTGGCTGGATGACCTCGGGCAAGCCATAGTTCTGTCAGAGCTGTTCTTGAAAAAGAGCAGATTCTGTCAAGAGCTCTCTCAGCCCCACCGACCTCACAGGGTGTCTGTTGTGGGGAGGGGAAGGGGAAGGAGTTTGCAAGCCGCTCTGAGACTCCTTTGGCTAGTGAAGGGCGGGGGATAAATCCAATCTCTTCCTCTTCTTCTTCTCTTAAATTACCAAACAGTTACTGTGCTTGAGGTTCTTTATGTTTAATTGCACGAGCAAAAGGTCTGACTGCAGCCAACGTAACTCCTCGATCCACGACTGCCAAGTGCTCCTTACAATTATCTGATGTTAACATCTCCTGATTATTGCAGAAAAGAGGAGTGATCCGCCAATCCCTAAGCCGGCAAAAGGTACCGCATTCCAGTAAGCGATGCTGCAAAGCTTGTCTGCCCAGAAGCACAATCACGAAGTCTATCAGCGCATGGGACCCTTTGCATTTGAGTTCGTGTTCAGGGACAGAGTTTAATCTTGCACGCATAAATGCTCTCCTGAATCTAGGAACAGTGGGGGGGGGGTAGAATCTAAATATGCTGAGGGTGCCTTTGGGTAAGACAATCCCAAGTATAAAGAGGAGCATACCCTACGGAATGTCTTTCATAATATCATAGAATCTTAGAGTTCGAGGGGACCTCTAGGGTCATCTAGTCCAACCCCCTGCACAGTCCAGGAAATTCACAAATACCTCCCCCCCTCCACCCCTCGTAGTGACCGCTGTTCCATGCCCAGAAGACGACAAAAAAGCTCCAAGATCCCCGGCCAAACTGACCAGGAGAAAAATGGCTTCCTGACCCCAAAGTGGCGATCAGCATTTCCCTGGGCGTGTAAGAAAGGTCTACAAGAACTAAGCACTGAGGCAACCCTTCCTGCCCTCCCTTCTCATAATCTGCCTAAGTCCACGGAATCAGCATTGCTGTCAGATGGCTGTCTAGCCTCTGTTTGAAAACCTCCCAAGAAGGAGAGCCCAACCACCTCCCGAGGAAGCCTGTCCCACTGAGGAACTGCTCTGTCAGGAAGTTCTTCCGAAAACTCTTTTGATTTAATTTCAACCCGCTGGTTTGTGGTGCACTGGAGAGAAACTAATCAAATAATCCTGGAGATGAACTTGGTACCCTCTGCAGCCAGGGACCAATGTGTCTTGTGAGCAAAAATTCTACTTTGTGTGCTCCTGGCATTAAAGTTGTGAGCGAGCAATTTGGCTGCTGCGTAAATTAGTGTGCTCTGGCGCCCCATCCTTCCTGAGCTAAGACAAAAATGTGTACGCTAGAGGCTAAAAAACTGAGCTGGCTCACACCAACTCAGCTTAGAGGGAACACTGGTAGGGACTGACAGTGACTCTCCAGGGTCTCAGGCCGAGGTCTTCCACATCCCCGACTGCCTAGTACTTTTTAAAACCTGGAGATGAACTCGGTACCTTCTGCAGCCGGGCTGCGATTCATCACACAAACGTGACCTAAAGAAGACAGATCACCTTTTTGCCTGGGTCTCCAACTGGCCAGGACGGATCATCCCGCAATGCACCTATTTATTTATAGTCTGCTGTTTTTACGGGACTCCAGGAGATGACAGAGAGTGAGTCAGTACAAGCAGCAAGATGGGACGTTAAATAACCCCATTGCAGTAGGATTTTAGAAGTCTGGAACCACTAAAAAGAACTGAAGTATACCATAAGTCTCCTGCCAACCTAGCCGTTCGAAAGCAAGAAATTGCAAATAGATAAATAGGTACCACTTCGGTGGGAAGGTAACAGCGTTCCGTGCGCCTTGGTGTTTAGTCATGCCGGCCACATGACCATGGAAACGTCTTCGGACAGCGCTGGCTCTTCGGCTTTGAAACAGAGATGAGCACCGCAACCCTAGAGTCGGATTCGACTGGCTTTCGAGCAAGGGAACCTTTACCTTTATACCAGAAGTATTCATGCGGCACATTAGGTGGCATAGAAATGTACATGAATAGGATCCTATTTCACAACAAGCTCCACACAGCAGCACAGTCCCAAGAATTTATCCAAGTAAATTTTTGAACCTATTAATTTATTTATATCTTTGATGTACAGCCCCGCCCACCCCAGCGAGTTGGCTACTGCCTAACATTAGTTTGCCCCAGAGCCCTTCCTTACTGAGCGAAGGCAAAAATGTGTGAGCTGGAGACGAGAAAAACCGTGAGCACACTAACTCCGCTTAGAGGGAACGCTGGTTCCCAGGTGCCCTCCCCCACTGGCAGGGGATGGGAAGGGGTGTGTGGTTACCAACTCCAGCTTAGGAAACTCCCGGAGGCTTGGGGATGGAGCCGGGGGAGGACAGGGAACCGCAGCGGGGCACCACGCCACAGAGTCCACCCTGCAAACCACCCCCTTTCTCTGGAGAAACGGATCCCCGCCGTCTGCAGACGAGCTCGTTCTTCTGCTGACTGACTCGCGAGTGTCCCTCTTTTCCAGATCCCTATGCGCTGCCAGGCGGGCTTACTCACCACCCCCTATACAGGGGGCAGTGGCTTACTCCAAAGCCAGCCGCACTGACTGAGCCTGCATGCGCCGCCTTTGCACGCCTGCAGCCAGCCCCGCAAGGAGGCTTCCTCCCTGGGAAGCGCGCACGGCACTGCGGCTCCAGAACGGCTCAGGACGCAATGTTCCCTCTAAGCTGAGATAGTGTGAGCTAGCTCACCGTTTCTTAGCCTCCGGCTCACGCACTGATTTATGCAGTAGCCAAATCTCTCGCTCACTACTTTAATGCCAGCGGCTCACAAAGTGGAATTTTTGCATGCGGGGCTCCACGGCTTAGAGGGAGCATTGTGTCCAGACCAGTGTTCCCTCTAAGCTGACTGAGTGTGAGCCTGCTCACAATTTTTTAGCCTCTGGCTCAGACATTTTTGTCTTCGCTCAGGAAGGATGGGGCTCCAGAGCAAACTGATTTCTGCAGTAGCCAAATCGCTCGATCACTGCTTTAATGCCAGCGGATCACAAAGTGGAATTTTTGCACGCGGGGCTCCACGGCTTAGAGGGAGCATTGTGTCCAGAGGCCAGTGTTCCCTCTAAGCCGAGTGAGTGTGAGCTAGCTCACCGTTTCTTAGCCTCCGGCTCACAGATTCTTGTCTTAGCTCAGGAAGGAGGGCTCCAGAGCAAACTGATTCATGCAGCAGCCAAATTGTTTGCTCGCAACTTGCATGCCAGTGGCTCACAAAGTGGCATTTTTGCTCGCAAGATCCCAAAGCTTAGAGGGAACGTCAGGAGGGGAGAAAGGCCGGCTGGCTTCGCGGCAGCTTTGCACGGACCCCCAACCCACCCCGGGCGCCTCCGCCGCTCACCTTGGCGTTGCTGATGTAGCGGAGCTCCAGGGCGCGGCGGGCTTGGCCGGCCGCCTCCATACAAAAGGCGAACACGTCGCACATGGGAGCAGCCATCTTGGCCGGCCCCGCTCTGACCCAGCCGGGAGGAGCCACCCCGGACGCCGCTTCCTCCGCCCCTTCCTCCGCAACGTGCCGAGGAGGAGGAGGAGGCGCCCGCCTCGGAGCCGGCTTTGCAGCGCCTTGGCACGCGCAAGCCCGAGGCCGCCGCTTCCCCGGGACTGGGGGGACTCCCGAGGAAGCCCCGCTCGGCACTGCAATGCGGGGATCGGCCTCAGGGCCTCCGGAGCGCCCGCCAGCTGCCAGATGCGCGGTGGGCGCCGGCCGGGGATGGTGCTGCGGAGTGGCGGGCCCCGGGAGTGAGGGTTCCCAAACTCCAGGTGGGGCCTGGAAGCCAGTTCCTCTGGAGGGCCAGCAACAGGGCAGAGAGGCCGAGGCCTTCCCCTGATAGGAACCGCAGAAGAGCCCTGCTGGATCAGACCAGGGAGGGTCCCTCTAGTCCAGCCTCCTGTCTCACACAGGGGCCAGCCAGTTCCTCTGGAGGGCCAGCAACAGGGCAGAGAGGCCGAGGCCTTCCCCTGATAGGAACCGCAGAAGAGCCCTGCTGGATCAGACCAGGGAGGGTCCCTCTAGTCCAGCCTCCTGTCTCACACAGGGGCCAGCCAGTTCCTCTGGAGGGCCAGCAACAGGGCAGAGAGGCCGAGGCCTTCCCCTGATAGGAACCGCAGAAGAGCCCTGCTGGATCAGACCAGGGAGGGTCCCTCTAGTCCAGCCTCCTGTCTCACACAGGGGCCAGCCAGTTCCTCTGGAGGGCCAGCAACAGGGCAGAGAGGCCGAGGCCTTCCCCTGATAGGAACCGCAGAAGAGCCCTGCTGGATCAGACCAGGGAGGGTCCCTCTAGTCCAGCCTCCTGTCTCACACAGGGGCCAGCCAGTTCCTCTGGAGGGCCAGCAACAGGGCAGAGAGGCCGAGGCCTTCCCCTGATAGGAACCGCAGAAGAGCCCTGCTGGATCAGACCAGGGAGGGTCCCTCTAGTCCAGCCTCCTGTCTCACACAGGTGCCAGCCAGTTCCTCTGGAGGGCCAACAACAGGACGCCCAAGACCTTCATAAGAACATCAGAAGAACCCTGCTGGGTCAGACCGGTGGTCCCTCTAGTCCAGCATCCTGTCTCACACAGGGGCCAACCAGTTCCTCTGGAGGGCCAACAACAGGACGTCCAAGACCTTCATAAGAACCTCAGAAGAGCCCTGCTGGATCAGACCGGTGGTCCCTCTAGTCCAGCATCCTGTCTCACACAATGGCCAGCCAGTTCCTCTGGAGGGCCAGCAACAGAGCACCAAAGACTTTCATAAGAACATCAGAAGAGACCTGCTGGGTCAGACCAGTGAGGGTCCCTCTAGTCCAGCATCCTGTCTCACACAATGGCCAGCCAGTTCCTCTGGAGGACCAACAACAGGACAACCAAGACCTTCATAAGAACATCAGAAGAGCCCTGCTGGGTCAGACCGGTGGTCCATCTAGTCCAGCCTCCTGTCTCACACAGGGGCCAACCAGTTCCTCTGAAGGGCCAACAACAGAGCAGAGAGGCCGAGGCCTTCCCCTGATAAGAACCTCAGAAGGGCCCTGCTGGGTCAGACCGGTGGTCCATCTAGTCCAGCATCCTGTCTCACACAGGGGCTAACCAGTTCCTCTGGAGGGCCAATAACAGGACGCCCAAAACCTTCAAAAGAACATCAGAAGAGCCCTGCTGGGTCAGACCGGTGGTCCATCTAGTCCAGCATCCTGTCTCATACAATGGCCTTTGCATACTGCGTGTGTGCAAGCTCTGGAGGGTCAATAAGCAGGGCAGAGACCCGAGGCCTTCCCCTGAGGTTGCCTCTTGGCTCTGGAATTCTGAGGCTCAGTGCCTCTGAATGTGGAGGTTCCTCTCAGCCACCATGGCTAGTAGCCACTGATAGACTTATTCTCCATGAGTCCGTCTAATGCCCTTTGAAAGCTGTTAATTCCTGCGGCCACCTTTTAATCACGCTCAGTGTAAAGTAGTATTTCCTTTTGTCCATCCGGAACCTACTGCCCATCCGCTTCATTGGATGTCCTAGAGTTCTAGCCTTTTGGGAGGGGGAGAAAAAAATTATCTTTGTCAGCTCTCTCCATTCCATGCATAATTGTATAAAACCTCTGCTATGTCCCCACTAAATCACCTCTTCAAGTTCCAGACTCTGGTCTTTCCTCATAGGGAAGGTGCTCAAACACCCTAATTATCTTGGCTGCCCTCCTCAGTAGTTTTTCCTGCTCCGCAATGTCTTTTGGAGATACAGTAACCGGAACTGTACACAGGATTCCAAATGAGGCTGCATCATAGATCTATACAGGGGCATTACAATATCGGCTGTTTTATTTTCAATCCCTTTAAAGAACATAAGAGAAGCCAATGTTGGATCAGGCCAGTGGCCCATCTAGTCCAACACTCTGTCACACAGTGGCCAAAAATACCAGGGGCCATCAGGAGGTCCAGCAGTGGGGCCAGGACACCAGAAGCCCTCCCACTGTTGACCCCCTCAAGCACCAAGAAGACAGAGCATCCCTTGCCCCAGACCGAGAGTTCCTGTCTGTACCTTGTGGCTAATAGCCACTGATGGAACTCTGCTCTGAGTAAGTGTTAGAGTCACACATCCGGGAAAGCCAGCATACCAACAAAGTTTTATTCAAGGTATGAACTTTCATTTGGATGTACACTTCTTTAGATGTATCTGGGTATAGGCTTGCGTGCGTATGCATACTTCAGATATATCTGAGGAAGTTTGGTGATCCAGTTTGGTGTAGTGGTTAGGAGCGCGGTCTCTAATCTGGGATAACCGGGTTTGATTCCCCCACTCCTCCGCATGCAGCTGCTGGTGTGACCTTGGGTCAGTCACAAGTTCTTTCAGAGCTGTTCTCTCAGGGGCAGTCCTCGAGAGAGCTCTCTCAGCCCCACCGACCTCCCAGGGTGTCTGTTGTGGGGAGGGAAAGGAGATTGTAAGCCGCTCTGAGATTCCTTCGGGCGGGGTATACATCCAATCTCTTCTTCCTTTTCCCTTTTTCCCTATTGTCTTACTGCCAGGAAATGAGGCTCTATTTGTACTCTCTTTATGTGCCATCTTATCGATTACTGTAAATTGTAGAGTTGTTTTAAATGTTTGTGAAAGGTTTTAACCTAATTTATTGTTGTTAACCCACCTTGAGCCTGGCTATGCAGGGGTGGGTGGGCTATAAATCAAAGATATAAATAAATAGGTTCAAAAACTTACTTGGATAAATTATGGGGACCGCACTCTATAGTGCTGTGTAGAGCTTGTTGTGAAATGGGATCCTAGTCATGTAAATTTCTATACCCTTGTGGCCAATAGCCACAAAATCTACACCTTATGGCTAAGAGCCACCGATGGACCTCTGCTCCATATGCGTATCCAATCCCCTCTTGAAGCTGTCCATGCTTGTAGCTGCCACCACCTGTGGCAGTGAAATCCACGCGTTAATACCCCGTGCTAATTCCACATGCATTTATACCTCGCCCTCCCTGCAAACGGGGAGGGCGGGGTATAAATACAATGAAATAAAATAATAATAAATAATCACTGTTTGGGTGAAGAAGGACTTCCTTTTATCTGTTCTAACCCGTCCACTCAGCAATGTCATTGATAATAATCCCTAACATGGAGTTTGTCTTTTTCACCCTTGCAGCACACTGGTTTGACACTTTCGTTGAGCCACCTGCTATGACCCCCAAAAGTTTTTTTCCCCTCGGTCTCAGCAAGTTCAGACCCCATTAACCTATACTTGAACTTGGGATTCCCCCCCCCATGTGAATCACTTTACACTTATCAACATTGAACTTTATTTGCCTCCTTGTCGCCCACTCGCCCAATTTGTGGAGGTCCCCTTGGAGTTCTTCTTCACAGCCAGCCTTGGTTTTCACCATCCTGAATAATTTGGTGTCATCTGAAAACCTGGCCACTACACTATTCAGCCCTCGTTGCAGATCATTTATGGATAAAGTAAATGGTACCAGCCTCAATACCGATCCTTGTGGGACCCCGCTGCTTCCTTCCTTCCTTCCATTGTGAGAACTGTATAAGCGGAGGCTGAACGACCATCTTTCGGGTCTGTTGTAGGGCTCTCTCTTGGCTGTGCTCCTGCAGAGTGCAGGCGGTTGGACTAGATGACCTGCAAGGGCCCTTCCAACTCTAACATTCTATGATAACTGTCCATTGATTCCTTTCCTTCCTGTCATTTAATCAGTTTTTAATCCACGAGAGAACCCGTCCTTTTTGTTGGCTTTTGAGATTCTTGCAGATACAGAAATCAGAGAGCCCAGCATGTGAGAAGTTAATAAACAGGAGATGCCCCGGGAAAGAGGGTCGAATCCTCTCTCTACACACACATTTTAAAAACAAAAGGCTAAGACCAATGGTGCGATCACTTTCTCAAAGAACTCCAAAAGGTTGGTGAGGCAGGACTTCCTTTTGCAGAAGCCATGCTGGATTTCCCTCAACAGGCTTTGTCCCTCTATGTGCCTTATAAATCTGTCTTTGATTACAGTCTCTACTGATTTGCCTGGGACAGATGTTAGGCTGACTAGCCTGTAATTTCCTGGTTCCCCACTGGATCCTTTTTTAAACATTTGTGTAACATTTGTAAATTAAGTAATACCAGCCCCAATACAACTGGGTGTTCTGTTCTTCTCCCTTTTGTTTGCTTTTGAGATTCTTTCAGATACATAACACACAGAGCCCAGCATGTGAGAAGTTAATAAACAGGAGATGCCCCGGGAAAGAGGGTCGAATCCTCTCTCTACACACACATTTTAAAAACAAAAGGCTAAGACCAATGGTGCGAGCAAAAGAACAAAAATTAAGCCCATTTTTAATTGACATTTTAACTAAATAAGAAGACAAAGTTAATGACTAATGGGGAATTACACAGGTTTAAGGTCAACAATGAAGAAACTGAAAGGGTTCAAGGTGTTCTGTTCAGGGGTCATTTCCTGCGGGAGTGCACAGGAGTGGAGCTCCGGCAGTAAAGAGCCCAGGGGGCGGGCACATGCAACAAGCCCCACCTCCTGCTCCCAGCAGCCCTCAGTCAGAGTAAGAAGCAGCCAGGTAAGTTGCAGAGCTCCCCCCAGCCCAAAACAGTCCAGTGGCACCTTTAAGACCAAGTTTTATTCAGGTATAAGCTCTTCCTCCTCTGTCAGGACAGATCTGCATGTCC